ATGTCATATCCTAATAAAATCTCCTAAGATCAAGCCAAATGATCTCAACATATTTTTACCTTTTCCTTTGCCTCCCCCCCCCTTTTTTCCAGATGATTAGAAAGCTCATTATATTAATTTCTACTTTTTAAAACACCTTATTTTTTGTGTAACTTATCATATGTGTTAATTTTGGAAAAAATACAGATAAGCACACATACACAAAATAAAAATATCCCTAATCCTACAACACAGAGACAATGAACCTTTTGGTATATATCCAAACTGTTTTGCCTTTTCTCATATTTTGTAGGCTGCTTTGTGGACTGGCTTTCTCCTAATATACAGAGAACTGCTGATAATGGGCCATAAATCAAATCGAAAAAGCAAAATGTAAAAAAAGAAGAACAAATGAAAATATGACCAAAAAATGCAGGAGCTTCTAATATTAGTAATGGCTAAAAAAAGTTCATGGGACAGATCACGGCAGGAAGCATTAAATGGGCCTGATGAGGGCTTCTTAAAAATTTTTGCCTTTAGTGTGTAACTGATACATTTCTTGCTTTTATGATCTGTTTTTAAACACTTTCCACTTGGCCTCATTCAGGCCTTCGTGTTTTAGATGCTCATTTTGTAGCCTCTCTTTATGTTCCTTGAAAAACTGAGCCAGCTCTCCTCTAACACTTTCTGCTAGTTGGGTGCACCTCTTTGCAAATGACACTCTTTTTTCCTCCTGCGTATATATTTTTGAAACTTTTTATTATGGAAACTTTCACACATACAAAAGTAGAAAAAACAGTACAGTGAACCCCCCATGGACCTATCACCCCGATTCAGCAATTATCAATCATGGTCAATTTTGTTTCTTTGATATCCCATCCACTTTCTTTCTGTNTCAGCAATTATCAATCATGGTCAATTTTGTTTCTTTGATATCCCATCCACTTTCTTTCTGTATTATTTTGAAAATCCCAGAAATTTCATCCACAAAATATTTCAGCATTAATTTCTAAAAGATAAGGACACCTTCAAAAATATAACCACACCCGAACAATTCTTAAAAACATTATCATGCCTAAAAAATTAACTATGATTTCTCAATAGCAACAAATACCCAGCCAGTTTTCAGATATCTCTTATTGTCTCATTCATGTTTGTTATAGTTGTTTGTTTGAATAGTTGGTTATTTATTTATTTATTGAGCAGCCGGCCAGTACAGGGATCGAACCCTGGACTTTGGTGTTATCAGCACCACGCTCTAACTGAGCTAAACGGCCAGCCCAATATTTGGTTTGTTTATATTAGAATGGAAGCATGGTCCACACATTGTATTTGGTTGATCTCTGTGTCTCTTTTAAGTCTATAGGTTTCCTCCTCTCTATTTTTTACCCTTATAATTTGTTGCTAAAGAAAATGGGAGGGGGGAGAGAGAGAGAGAGAAAAGAAAGAAAGGAAGACTGTTGAAATTTCAAAAGGAGAGAACAGAACTGAGCCCACCAGAGGTGGGAAGTGGGGGGTAGGAAGAAATTGGTAAACGGTCACAAAAAATGATTACATTGTATAATGCTGAACAGACTAATCCTATTTGAGCATCACATATTGCACACAGGTATTGATATTCAATGCTGTACCCTACACATATGTATAATCAATTATGTTTCAATAAAAAAAGGAAAAAAAAAAAGAATGCTTTTAGCAGTCATTGAGGATCACTGCCTAGATCCACTCTTCCTTTAGGAGATGATAGAATATTTGTATAAACTTCTATAAACTTTCTCTCATCACCTCTTCAGTTATCCTAAGGTACCCTGGTCATACAGGAAAGGTGAAATAAATGCTTGATTTTTCTCCCTTTTATTTACCAATTTTCAGGATAATGAGCTAATTTCTTTTTTTTAAAAAAAGATTTCATAATATGCCTTTATTTTGTAACTTACAAACAACTTTTAATTTGTCTTTCAAAAGTTAAT